AAAAAAAAAATATATATCTTTTGATCGGTTGTGTGCAGTTTTTATTTTTAATTAAAATACTGTTAATTGGCAGTCGTACCTCCTCAGAATGGTTTTTGTCAGAGCAAAACATGGTTGTGTTGTGGTGCTGTGAATGATTGCTAAGGGCTTTGGTATGTGGTTGCTAAGGTATTCTGAGTTTGTGTGTGTGTGTGTGTGTGTGTTGCTATGCTTTTGCCATGGCATTGAGGTGATTTCTGTCTCTATGACATTTAAAATAAAATAAATAGTAGAAGAGAAGAGACTGGAAAGATGACCAGGACAGTCTATTACTTAAATGAAATCTGATGCCTAAGGCATGTGTATGTTGTCTTGACACATAACAACATTATAGACCTTCAGTCCAGTGATGTAATTTTCAGTCTGGGCCAGTTTAGCCAGCGCTGTGCCCCTCTTCCTCAGCTCTGTGATCTCCTGCTCCAGCTCTCTGATCATGAGCTCAGCCTGGTGCTCTGCTGAGCGACGGTTTATCTCAGTCACTTCCAGCAGCCCGGCCTGACTGCGCTCGAGAGAGCTTATCAAAGCTCCAAACAGCTGCATGCTGCGCTGCACCTCATGCTCTGACAACATCTGGAGCACAGAGGGGAAGCAGAAGCAAGGATGATGGAAGGTTTTCATCATATATCTAGATTTAAGGATGATGAAAAACCCTGACACTGCTTCACTAAAAATCAGCTGACGTTAAAACCATAGCTGTTCACTTTTCTCTAAGACTTTTGAATTTTAGATGGTGCGGGATGAAGAAAACAAGTGAAGCTTCTGCGTTACTCACTTTCATATCAACTAGTGATTGTTTGATCTCGTCCACTTTCTGCATCCTCTCTTTGGTCATCTCCTGTATCTCAGTCTCTGTGATACCAATCTTCATCTGTGTGAAAGGAAACAGGAAATGATGTAGCAGGAAGTGCCCCAGATTTTACCAGTTAATGCATATAATGCAACATTTTAGCTCAAACAAGTGCTTATACTGTATGGCAGTGCTTCATGTATTCTTACCATACAATTTTACATCCCATCTAGTATTTAAATTTTGTGTCAGCTTCTTGATTTTGAATAATAGTAGTGGCCAATGATCAGTAATAGCCTATTCAGTGGACCCAGAAAGTACAGTATGTGGACACTCAAGCCAAACTTCCAATTGTACACACTAAAAAATGCTAGCTTATGGTGTACAACAGCTTGCCAGCAGGGGCGGTTCTGGAGGGATGGGGGGGTGGAAAGCTTGTTGACAGAACTAAATTTGGAATCATATCACACCAAACAATTTTGTGTGAAATGTGCAGTTTGTCCACATTATATATTAGTTAGTATATATATACAGTATATTAGGGCTGTCAACGTTAAAGCGTTAACGCATGTGATTAATTTTACTATCCTTAACGCGGATTGTACAATTTTACAATCCTTTAAATAATTTTACGCAATTAACGCAAAATTACTGAAGCACAACTTCTATTCAAACCCTTTAACCCAATTTTGCTTCTCTGCTTGCAATCAGATAATTTTAAGCTGCTAAACTCCGGGAAAGTTTTCAGTCTAATGATCCAGTGAGAGAATGCAAACAGTCAAACAGTCCGTCCAAAACAGCGCTAATATAAAGGAAACCAGGCTGATTAAATCAGAGATTGCAGAGAGAACAGAGGACTCATGTTGCGTTTTCAGTGAATTATTCATGCCAGTGTGTTTCGCTTTTAAACACGAGCTCTGTCATATTCTGTGATTGTCTCTGAAGAGCGCGAGCCCTCACATGTCGCGCTGTGTGAAGTACAGACTGAACGGATTGTCAACACATCCCACCGCTGTATGGCCAGATGAGACGCAAACTATGTTTTCTCGACTGGATAACCAGTCTCGCTAGTAAAGTTTTAATGGATGAAGACTGCAATCAAGGTAAAGACGATTGCGGTGGCGTACAGGAGTCGTGCAGTACAGTAAGCATGCGTGAGTCCGTTATATTAATGCATGTATGAGTGCTCTTGACGCACTGATCACACATTGTATTTATGCACAGGCACAGACATTTCCGTACATTCACGTTGTTTCCACACACATTCACGATAATGTTTTGATTTGTAATGTTTATGTTGCTGTGTTTAGTTATACTGAATGGATCCGTGTACTGTAGTAGTAGAGACATGCAGTCAGCAGGCGGTTGGTTTAGGGGTTTTTTGGCATCTCCATGTGGTCCTGTTCGGTATAGCAACTTGGCTTCTCTAAAATGTAAAAAAACTCTTTGCTGTTGCACTGTACACATACTATAAAATTCAGATATTTCTTTTCTTTCATATGTGCTTATATGGGCTCCTTATTTCATTTGGTTCTTTGGTGTCCTTTTGGAGTTCCTAAGTGTCCTTTTTTGGAAAGACATCTAAATTTATCTTTAAAAAAGCTTGCAGAAAATACAGATTTTTGAGAATCACACTTCAATCTTTTGGTTTACTTTGCTGGATATAGCAAATGATGACAAAATAAACATTTGAAACAAGGTAAATGGTCTATGCTTAATTTCATGAAGTGTGTGATTAATCGTGATTAATCACAGAAAAAGGATGTGATTAATTAGATTAAAAATTAATTTGTTAAAAAATATATATATATTTTTATATATTGACAGCTCTAATATATATA